TACTCTTCTAACAACACAATGTTTAGGACACAGACCTGTGGGTTAGGAGATGCTAATGCTCGTGTGGGATCGGACTTTAAAAAAAAATGGATCTGGAGTCTGGATCGGCATTTTCTCATGCCGGCCGATACGATCCAAATATCGGATCGGGACAAGACTACTCACTTACTTTTCTTGAAAAGTCCGTCTTGAAAATGGCCTTGACAGTAAATCTGCCACAAAATCATAAAATAGCTATTACACCAACACAAGTTTATTTCGGTTTGTTTGCTAACTTTGGCCGGTACGCTATCTGACTATCCAATCAGCGGGTGTGAATACGGTGACGTTCCCTAAGGCCCTCTAGATGGCCCTGGCATCACCAACCTAAAATCTGATTGGTTAAAGCAACAGTGTACTAGACATGTATTTTCTGTTGGGGGGGGGGGGGCTGCAGAACGGATTGTGAAGGCTTCCAGGCAGACATCTTTGACTATGACCCTGCCTAGCACCAAATGATGGCTGAAATGTGATTGGTTAAATGCTTTTATATGGAAATGCACGTCTGGTAGCAGCGCAACCAAGGGAAAAGCTATGAAAGGAAGCGGACAGACTGTTTGGAGATATTTAATACGTTTCCATTGACAAAATATAATTAACATCAGTCTGTGATTCAGATATTTTCTTAGGCCTGCAGAGAAGGCCTTGCAGGCCCTGACGGCCCACCACTGCTCCAACCTACGGCTATGAGTTACAATCTAAAGAGATCACGGATACTATACACAGGAGCTTCTTCCAAATATGGGCTACGCTCAAACACCGGGTTAAGGATAGTTATGTTGGGCATCTGTTGGGGATGTTTTGGACATGTCTGACTGGAAAAAGGCCTCTGAAGACAATAATACTCACGGGAGTAAATATGTCTCAAATGGCTTGGGCATACCTCAGTGTTTTCGGCATGTTGGAGACGGCGTTGGAGAAGGGGAATTCTTTAACTCTTAACTGTTTCCCTCTAAAATGATTCCAGTAAAACATGGTTAGACGGACTGATGGATGTATAAACCATCCTAAAATCTATTAATCTGCCTCCAGGTTATTGAATCATTGGGTTATTCTGTGGAACAAGTTTATTACCTTCTATTATTTTTGCCTATATCTGCAACTTCCCTCCTGTATTCTCTCACTTTGAATAGTTGCGGTTTTACCTAAACATTCTGTAAATAACTATCCAGATAGCTGGAGCTCACATCGTTTGGAGCAGTTGTCTGTTCACGTGACAGCTGCACAAAAAAACAGAGCTGAGCTTAAAGTTTAATTGGTTAACTCAACACAAGCAGTAAACTGTGAGCCTGACCCTTTCTGCTGGAAGGAACGAATGCATAAAATTAGACTCGCAACTCACCAGCTGGCTGTCAACCCATAAATACACCTTTTGACACCTGCCCCTCACGAGACCTGCCCACAGGAGAGTCTGAGACTGTCACAGCAAGCTGCATCCCAGAAAGTGTTTTGCCCCTTACTGAATGTAGATGACGTGAGCGGAGATGAAACATTAATGACCCCGGGATAAAACCACAAATCAAACCTCAAATTTCCCCACAAGACAGCTAACACTTTCCAGCATTTAGTAATTTAATATTCTGTTCTGCAGATTCTGCAATTCATTTTATTTGGCCAAGATTCTGCAATTCATTTTATTTGGCCAAGTCATCCACCCATTTTTCTTTTAAAGAGTTTTGATCACACCATAACAAGAATTGAATTCTTATTGTATGAACATTATCGAGCAGGATAGCTGCCTGTTATAACCATGCAAAGATTGCGCAGTACTGTGTCTTTTGAGTCCTTTTTTCACCATTTCACCTTTTTTCCCTGCTGATGCACATGCAGAAAAACGAAGTACAAAGGAAAAAAACAAGGAGCAATAAATCACCACCATCACAAAACACAAAGTTCAAGAAGATGCATGCACAAACAGACTGAACAGAAATGTAAATAGATTACTTTATGTTGTAGCCCTCTGCACAACCTGTTCAGTCTAAGGAAATGAGAGTCATCAATATTTTATATTGGGCTTTTCCATTTAATGTTTGCATGTGTGTGAGGGTGTTTGAGCACATCTTTTCTCATATCGATCCAGACTGCAGGCAACAAACCAGTCAGCTAGCATGCTTGTGAATAAAATAAATCTGGCCTTACAGGCAGAATGTCCTGACACAGAGCTGTCATATTCACTCTCTCTGTGTCTCACACTCTGACACACACATATGAAAAATTGTGCATGTGCTGCACTGAATGATTAATCACGTCTAAGCTTTGTGTGTTTGTATGTTTGCATATGACAGCGAAAGAAACAGGGAGGCTGTATAAGACCAGATAACAGGTCTCAGAAAGATAGATGGCACACATGGACACACTCACAATCCTTAAAACTATCTTGCTTTGTGTTACAAGTGATTTGAATCTCATTCTCAATGATAAGCATGAATAGGGGCTTTATATTTCTTTAGTTGGAAACCTGATAATAAAACAAAGTAGATCAAAAGTATGACAATTACATTTATTAGGTCAGAGGCAAAGTGTATCGGCGCTGGGCTGTCAGACAAAAACCTCTCTTTCAGGGTCTCAGCTGGCAAAGAGCGCTGAAATCCGAGTCCAAAATTCTAACATATTTGATGGGCAAATTTGGACAGGCTCCATATACATAGCATTTATTGGGAAACTCGAAAATGTAGTATCCTAATACTGATCCCCAAAACACCCAGTGAGGGGTTCAGTGTCTTGCCCAAGGACACTTCGTCATGTCACTTAAGTAGAATAAACTCAAACTTTCAAATAAGTGTAGATGTTGCAGAGTTTAAGTAAGAAACATATTGTGGTAAAAATGGTAATGAGTCAACCATGGTGGCATGTAACGTTGGATTACTTTGGTCAAAGGACCTAGTTTTCAGGTGTGTTTCATTTTTTTGAAAAAGCAGTGACGATTAAAAATGTAGAAAATGTTAAGAAGAACACTTTTAGAAAGCTTGGAACTTGCTGTTCCAAGTCACTCCAAGTTCCTCACACTCTAAATGCTAAAATGGATGTCATGGTAACTGGTCCTCTGGGCGCTTTGGTGTATTTTTGAGTTGGTTTTCCACCTCCTGAGTTTTGGAGTCTGGCACATTCTGCCTGAGAACTGCATTTAAAAATCAGGAAATGCTACAGGGAAAAAGCGTGTGTTATGGTCATTCTCTACAAGCACTTCTATGATGCTTAAATATTAAATGATACCACAATATCCCTATCATAAATGGGGTACTGTGCACAGAGTGTGTCTTTAATATGTAGGGTATTTTTTAATGATGCGTCCTATATTGGCAAGCTTAAATGATAGCCTGTCATCAGAAACAAGATAGATTAATTGATAATAAGGAGATAAATTCAGCATATGCTTCGTAAAGCAGTGGACAAATGTATGCACTTCACACATACTCAGACTGTGCAGACACATAATTATTTAGAACATGTTGAGCCTGCTGTGTTGAGGTGGATATTCATCATGTAGGGATCAATAAAATTTAACATATGACCCAACAGTCAGTTTTGTTTTAGAGCCTGTGTATCTTATCACCATATTGTAACACACACAAACACGCCTATATGAATAGATACAATTTGTCATAGACAATCTGGATTGAATTCGAATTAATGTGTACTTTGGGCTTTTTGTTTGTTAATGTAAGATCTATGAAGAGCTGCAGCTGTGTGTAAATTGGCTTCATTTATAAAAAGCCCTCTCTACTGTAGTTGAGCACTTTAGAGACGCTTAATTAGGACTTTTGCTGGACTAGGCCCGTTCAGCCAGCACATCCACAGAGCATTTCTCTATTTCTAACCATGCTAATGAGCAAAACTTTCCTCCATAAATATGGCTTGTTTTCTGGCAGACAAAAAGTACACAGTTGTTTTTTTTCTTTTTTTCTTTTTCTTTTTTTTTTAAGTAAATGGGGCCTCTATTGGTCATAACAGCAACTGCATGAGAGAGGTAAAAAGGCTTTGTAGTACAGCTGTAAATAGAACTCAATTCTATTCCAATCCAGCATGTGTTGATTACACAACAAATTATTTTGTTTTCAAGGCTTTTTTCTAGAACCTGTAGTGGTTCAATTTCCTAAATGAGAGGACATTTTATACCTGACAATAATCACTTTTTAGCCTTAACAACATAATATTATCGTCTCAACCGGAAAAACCCATTATTGTGTTGTCGATTAATCGCACAATGTTTCTGTCTCAAATTGCCAAAGGCCTGGGAGTAAATACAGCTCCATCCACAAATGTGAATTTTGGGACTTCTTGAGCAAAAGACAGATATGAAAGACTAATTTTATTAATATTCCTCTCCTGCGGTTTGCAGGGGATATACTGTACTTTACGTGATGGCATCGTGAGCTGCAGTCAGGAGGAAGAGGAGTATTGTGTTTGTAACTGTGGGGGCTTGGTGCTCAGCTGCAGAGGGGGAGGTGTGGGGAAGGCTCAGGGGAGCAGTGCCAGGGGGGGTGATTAAGTACACCTGGAATCAGTTGGCTAATCACTCTCCCCTCTGTAAAAGAGTAGCGTGCTGGACCTGGAAGGAGAGAGGACTGGAGTGGAGAAACCATGGAGCCACGGAGGTAGGGTGTGTGGATTTCAGGTGTGTACATGGGGATGTTCAAAGATACCCTGTGGTGCCAGTGGAAATCCGGTACAAGGGAAAAAAGCATAGTCTAAAGGCGGCGGTTAGTACATGCCTGGCGCACCCCCTGATTCTGGGTACTGATTGGCCTTGGTTCGACAATGACACTCTGCAGAAGTGATCACCCAGTTGTTGGTGCCGAAAAGTCTTGGAGAGTCCGTTGAGGCACCCATGGTGGCTGAACCGCCACAGTAACGAACATAGTGCAAGGTGGGTTTAGTATCTCGTGAAGTGTTTGACAAGTGAACTGGGGAAGCCAGGTATCAAACCATAGACCCACCAAGAGGTGGATGACCCACTTTACCCTTCGTGTCACGGCTGCCAGTGATGATTTTCCGACGATGGCTACTTTGTTGGGTTCTGTGAAATACTGTAAGAGAGGCCACGAAAGAGAAGACATCTTTTTTTTTGTTCTCCATCTCACTAGTCAATGGGATGATTTTATGTATTTGTTTTTTAAATTGGGGGTGGAATCAGATTCATGCATTTGTGCACAGCTTTATGAGGTTATTCATGAAGGCTTTATAAATCTGGAATTCTGCATTTGTGCCTGCAATCCATTTCAGTCATTAATCTAACCAGAAATGTATTGCCCCTAATGTATTGTTCAACTGCCTGTTACAGTATGTTTGTGCACAGTGTAATTCTTTAAAATGTATACTCAAGGAACATTTGTTCATGAGCTCTGGTAATAATGAACTTGTGTGAATATTGAGGACGGCATCCTTTTTAAACTGTCTTCTGCATGCGGTAGTGGTACTCTCATTGCGCTTTGTTCAGCATATTAGCATCTGATTTGCAATTTGGTCTTAATGTGAGTTTAAAGCACTTGCATCAATTCAGAAGACAATTCAATTCAGAGGAATTTAAGGGGCATTTCTTGATGCTCCATGGACAACTATGACGTAAAAAAGGAAAGTACACCGCTGTTCAATTTAATCCTTTAACGCTGTACATACCACATTGATACAGATTTCTGAGACCTATTGCACCTTCATATTGTTTATAGTACAGGAGAAACAGAACTAAACCTATTATGATGAAAACATACCAAACGAACACTGATGAAAAAATATCAACGACTAATGACAAGAATGCATAAGAAAAGCCGTGAATGAAACAATGAAGATGATCTGATGAACACTGAAACAACCAGGGAGCTTAAGAGAAGAGAAGAGGGATTTGTGAACAGCAGCTGAAAGAGTTCACTCAGGAGAAGAGTGGACCAAAGGAAAACAAGAACTAAACAGGACAAGGGTAAGACAAAATAAATTCATTAAAACTATAGGACAAAAGCAGAATAACTCAGAGCAAATTGTGCACATAAAAAGGCATTACATGAGGGGCATGAATCTCTTACGTCACTGTGGAAGGATTTTAAATAATCTTTTCAGTGTTGAATAACAGACTCCAATATCTGCTTCCATTAGGTTATTCTTGATGTCTTTCCTCCTTGACATCACGCTAAAACACTTAAATGCTCCTGTCCAGCAAACTGACAAAAAATCTGCTTTTGTAGAGGCTAGAATTAGGATACAGAGAGGGCATGCTTTGTCCCAATTAGTACACCATATATATGTACACACATGTAAACACACTCTTTCACAGACATACACAGAGATATGCAAACTGTTTAATTATCCTCAGCTGTCACCTCTCACTGGTCTTCCTCCTCTGTATTTAAGCTCAATGTTTTCTCCTTGTCTTTGTCAAACCCTAATAATTATCACAATCATTTGGTTTTTATTTTGTCCCCCCTACATAAATACACATAACATAACATAACAAATATATAAGATTTAAGAAATGTCTTATTCTACAATGGAAAAACATTTATGAAGGTTCATGTGATTTACAACCAGCTTGATGTCCTCATATTAAACTGTTATGAATCAGTACAATCTTTATATTCTGTTATTTATTTGCAAAGTGTCGCAACTTTTTTTGCACACAGGAAAAGTTTCTGATATCACTGTTATCCCTCTGTTTGCAGAAAGTGAAGCATCCCAGTTTACAAAAGAGCCATCTCGAACTGACTTTGCTCTCTGTATTTTAGTTTTTCATTTTTACTCAGTCAGTTTGATAATGTGAGAAATTTCAAAACCTTATTTCATTTCATGCTTGATGCCTGGGTGCAATGCACATCTGTTCTCGAGGAAATCATATAAAAAGATCAAATTACAGCCCAAACAGAAGTGTAACAATGGGGCTACCTACGCCCTATGAAATATGTTATGTAGCATACAGCCAACTTCTCTAATTTCATTACCAAAGTTCTGCAGTTGTGACAGGTCCTATTTACATTCATTACCTCACTGTAGATGGCCATAGGTGGATTAATGACCGGGCCTACCGGGCCCAGGCCCAGGGGGCCAGAGGCCCCAAGGGGCCAGGCCAACTTGGCCCTGCGGCCACGACCCAAGCAAAACTACTTTTGCAAAAATAATAATCTTAGGCCCCAAGGGGCCAGGCCAACTTGGCCCCGCGGCGATGATCCATAGAGGGTAAGAGGCCCCAAGGGGCCAGGTCAACTCGGCCCCGCGGCCACGACCCACAGAGGGCCTGATGTCCTAAGAGGTCAGGCCAACTTGGCCCCGCGGCCATGATCCATAGAGGGTAAGAGGCCCCAAGGGGTCAGGCCAACTTGGCCCCGCGGCCACGACCCACAGAGGGCCTGAGGTCCTAAGAGGTCAGGCCAACTTGGCCCCGCGGCCATGATCCATAGAGGGTAAGAGGCCCCAAGGGGTCAGGCCAACATGGCCCCGCGGCCATGATCCATAGACGGTCAGAGGCCCCAAGGGGCCAGGCCAACTTGGCCCCGCGGCCACGATCCATAGAGGGTCAGAGGCCCCAGGGGGCCAGGTCAACTTGGCCCCGCGGCCACGATCCACAGAAGGCCAGAGGCCCCAAAGGGCCAGGCCAACTTGGCCCCGCGGCCGCGAGCCACAGAAGGCCAGAGGCCCCAAAGGGCCAGGTCAACGTGGCCCCGCGGCCACGATCCATAGAGGGTAAGAGGCCCCAAGGGGCCAGGTCAATTGGCCCCGCGGCCGCGACCCACAGAGGGCCTGAGGTCCTAAGGGGTCAGGCCAACTTGGCCCCGCGGCCATGATCCATAGAGGGCCAGAGGCCCCAAGGGGTCAGGCCAACTTGGCCCCGCGGCCACGACCCACAGAGGCCCCAAGGGGCCAGGCAAAATTGGCCCCGCGGCCATGATCCACAGAGGGCCAGAGGCTCTCAATCATTATTATCAAAGCTAATTCTCAAATTGGATGGATCACACAACCTCACTCACATATTCTTTATCAATTATGAAAGGTTGTTTCTGAATTTTGATCACAGAACTTAATGCAAATATTCTTGATTGATTGACAAAGCTCATTCTCAAATTTTGATTAAACAACCTTACTCTGACAAATTATCATTATCAAAAAGCTCTATCTCGAATTTGGATCACAGAATCTCACTCAAGTATTCTTAGCTGTGCCCCTCCCCCATCGAGTCTTTCATAAACCGGTCTGTTCTTTTAGAATCTCCTCATTTGGTATTTTGAACTCGTGAGAGACTGCTCAAAATTTGGTTTCCTTTCCCTCAGTTCAGACTCAGAGATAATTTGAAATCATTCAACAAGAAGTTTAACGCGCGCACACACACACACACACACACACACACACACACACACACACACACACTTGAGTTGAGCATTACTTGGAAATTCTTATATTTTCCATTTTGCTGTTACTATCAATATCTTCCCATTTTGTCCTTTTCTTTCGAAAAAGTTTACAGTCTGACATTTGTCACTGCTGTCAGTTAATAACTTTTTGGTCTTTGACCCATTTTGTCATTTTCTCGATTCGATCGTCACTGACCACTCTCTCCTGTCTGGCAGACATCGTTGCTGCCATCATAGCTAACAAGCTGCCTGCAGATAGCAACATTTTGGTGTCCTTTGTGAAAATATTTAGATAGAAGACAAAAGTGCACAAAGTTGTACAATTATTATCTTTTCAAAATATTTGTTTCACTGTCAGTGTGATTGACCGACTTTGCCGCTAGATTTCGTGTCTTTTGGCCATACCTGGCTAGCGACTAAAAACATCATTTAGCGACTTTTTGGTTGTGAAGATAAGTGGTAAAAGCAGATCTGCCTGTTGGTCTTCCCACATTTTGCCATTTGGTACTTTGCACTCTTGTTGGTCACTCCAAGGCATTTGTCCCTGCCTTCAGCTAGTCACTTGGCTCTTTTGGAATATATTTCACTGGATAGGCTCCAGTTCCCCCCGCGACCCCATCAGGGAATAAGCGGTATTGATAATGGATGGATGGATGGATGGATGGCTCTCTCTCTCTTTCTCCTCAGTACAAATCAGTCTGTTCCCTTGCCATTTAGACATTTTCTTGATTCGATCATCACTGACCACTCAGCTCTCCTGCAGTCTATCAGACGAATCAGTTGATTCTCTGCTCTCAATTGTCTATGCTAGTAAGCTGTTATTCTCTGCTTTGGAGTGTTGATGCTGGGTTGCTAGTTTTCTAAATCACCTCACACACTTGAAGGAAGCAGCACCGATCATAAACACACAAACAAACTCACACACACACACACACACACACACACACACACACACACA